ACGATTCGGAATTTAGCGTTGGTATTAATCACACACGAAAAGAAAATAAATCCTAAAAATATGATTTGGAGAAATATCTAAAACTAATTAGAACTGGGAAAGCGAATAAAGAAATAACAATTAAATCTCTAGAGAAAAGGAAGAAGTTCTAGGGATCGGGAAATCTCATCAAGTTTCAAACTAAGTTGAACGATCATTTGTTCGGTTACGAGATTTAACAAGCCTACACGTCTAGAGGGCTATGCTCAATAACTCTTCGTAACAAGAGCACACACATAAACGATAAACTCATTCAAACAAGCAACACATAGAGAATACGTTTCCGAATATGTCTACTCTATACGAGCCTAAATCGACCAACGCCTCCCCTCTCGGTTCTACACGTTGATTAACTAGGTTAGAATGGTGATCAATCAACTAACCCTATAATTCACACAACTCGCATAGATTGAACAAAACATATTCCACATAATTCAAACAAGAATCAAAATCCCTAACCCTAGGTGAATGGATTACCTCATGCTTAGATTCAATCTCATGTTAATTGGAATTAAGAACATTAAACCAATCAACAATAATAAAATAGAATTGAAAAACTTACAATCGGATTAAGACTTGAAAGATTTGAATCCAAATGTCTTTGTGTCCAACAATCCAAGCATGAGAAAATAAAAAGAAAAGCGGAGAAAATTATCCTAACAATATTGAGCTTTTGGAGAGAAAACTTGAAAGGAACGATATTGAGGGTTGTTCCTTAGGTCTGGAGGTTCGTTTTGATATATAGTGCGCAAAAAATGGAGCTAAAACGAGTAAAAACGAGCAAAAATAAAAACAGGGGTCGACAGGGTCGCGACTCGCGAGTCAACTCGCGAGTCGCGAGTTGGACGGGTCGCTGGGCTGTTGGAGGCTCTGTTAAAGTCGTGAGTCGCGACTTTTTCTCTCGCGAGTCGCGACTAAACTCGCGTATCGCGACTTTGTGCTCGCGACTCGCGAGATTCTGGGCTGCACTGCACCATTTTGCGTTTTTGCCTCGTTTGAGCTCGTTCGAACTCGGAATTGAGTTCCGTTTTTTCCTATGCGTTGCTAACGAACCCCTCTATCCAGTTATGCTCTCGAAACCAACTTTTTTTGAGAGAAAATTCGCCCGAATCTTTCGACCTACACACCAAAAACGACAAAACACAAAAGAAAAGCGGAAAAACAAAAAAAAAACCACCTAATGACTCAAAATGAAGGAAAACACATAATAAAACAAGAAACGGACTAAAAACTAAAGAAACAACCTAAAACGGGGGAAAACGAAAGATAAAATAAACACGAAAAATGCAACAAAAATGGGACAAACAATCATTCTTTTGATTGTGGATTTTTAAGCCCATTCCCTCTAGCAAAACTACCAATTGATCTCTATTCAATCCTTTCGTCAAAGGATCAACCAAATTTTCCTTAGACTTCACATAGTCAATGGAAATAACACCATTCGCGATCAATTGGCGTACGGTATTATGTCTACGACGAATATGTCTAGACTTACCGTTATACAAATTGCTTTGCGCCCTACCTATAGCAGTTTGGCTATCACAGTGAATCATCACAGGCGGCAAAGTCTTATCCCAACATGGAATATCGGATAAAAAATTTCTAAGCCACTCGGCTTCTTCACCAGCTTTATCTAAAGCGATGAACTCCGATTCCATCGTTGACCGAGCTATACACGTTTGTTTTGTGGATTTCCACGAAACTGCACCTCATCCAATACAGAAAACATATCCGCTAGTGGAGCGAGAATCTCTCGAATCTGATATCCAGCTTGCATCACAGTACCCTTCAAGTACGGCTGGATATCTCGAGTATTTAAGCCTGTATTCAAGGGTGTACCTCAAGTACTTAAGTACCCTTTTCAAAGCATTCTAGTGCTCATGACTGGGATTGCTTGTAAATCTGCTCAACTTATTCACCGGATAGGCCAAGTCTGGTCGTGTACAATTCGTCAAGTACATCAGACTCCCTATTATCCGTGAATATTCCAACTGAGTCACTGGTTGACCTTTGTTGACTTCCAAATTTATACTGAGATCAAGGGGTGTCTTACACCTAGACTGTGCACCGCCATAGGTATCAAATTTCTTGAGCACTTTTTCTATATAATGAGATTGTGACAAGACAATTCCATCTTGGGTTCTGATAATCCTTATTCCAAGAATAACATCAGCCAAACCCATATCTTTCATGTCGAAATTTCTTTTCAACATTCTTTTTGTATCCATGATCACTTCATGGCTACTCCCCATGATCAACATATCGTCTACATATAGACATACAATCACAAATGTATTTGATGTACCCTTGACATAAACACATTTATCACATTCGTTGATTTTGAAATCATTTATCAACATCACGTCATCAAATTTCAAATGCCATTGTTTCGGAGCTTGTTTCAGTCCGTACAAGGATTTGATCAATCTACACACCTTTCTCTCTTGTCCAGGTGCAACAAACCCTTCAGGTTGTTCCATGTATATTTCTTCTTCCAATTCACCATTCAAAAATGCCGTCTTGACATCCATTTGGTGAATCTCAAGATTGTGCAACGCAGCAATCGAGAGAAGCACTCTTATCGACGCTAAACGCGTAACAGGTGAATAGGTATCAAAGAAATCATACCCTTCCTTTTGTTTAAAGCCTTTGACCACCAAACGTGCTTTAAACTTATCAATCGATCCATCAGCTTTATATTTTTTCTTTAGGATCCACTTGCATCCTAAAGGTTTACAACCATCAGGGAGATCAACCAACTCCCAAGTATGATTTTGCATAATGGACTCAATTTCGCTATTTACAGCTTCTTCCCAGAGTGGTGATTCTGGGCTAGACAGAGCTTCCTTAATGAAACTCGGTTCATCGTCCAACATGTATGTAATAAAATCAGGTCCAAACGTTTTTACTGTTTTTACCCTTTTACTACGTCTCAGTTCTTCATCAGTACCCTCTGGTACAGAACCACTAGCAGTTTCATACGTTCTTTTATTAGAACTAGATTCTGCCCTTTCCTTCATAGGAAAAACATTCTCAAAGAATATAACATTCCGTGACTCAATCGTGGTACCAACAGATACCTCTGGATTTTCTGATTTATGAACCAGAAATCTATATGTTGTACTATTGTACGCATATCCAATAAATACACAATCGACCGTCTTTAGCCCGATCCTCATTTGTTTTGGTTCAGGTACTGAAACCTTAGCCAAACACCCCCACACTTTCAGGTATTTATAAGACGGCTTACAATTTTTCCACATTTCGTAAGGAGTCTTATCTTCCCCTTTAGGTGGTATTTTATTCAGGATATGATTTGCTGTCAAAACAGCTTCCCCCCACATGTTCTGTGGTAATCCTGAATTAATCAACATGGCATTCATCATTTCTTTTAACGTACGGTTCTTGCGTTCAGCAACACCGTTTGATTGTGGAGAATAAGGGGCCGTCGTTTGATGAATTATGCCATATTCAAAACATATTTGTTCAAAAGGAGCTACATACTCTCCACCCCTATCACTTCGGATTATTTTAATCTTTTTGCCGAGTTGATTTTCAACTTCGGCCTTATATATCTTAAACGCTTCCACAGCCTCATCTTTGCTTCTTAACAAATATAAGTAGCAAAACCTTGTGCAATCATCGATAAAAGTTACAAAATACTTTTTACCGGTTCTTGTTTGCACACTTTTCATATCACATACATCAGTATGGATCAAGCCTAATGGTTCAGTACTCCTTTCCACCGAGTGAAAAGGCAACTTAGCCATTTTTGCTTCAATACAAATTTCACATTTTGTATTTTTATCAACTTTAGAATTAGGAATTAATTCTAATTTCATCAACTGTTTTATCGCATTTAGATTTACATGTCCCAATCTAATATGCCATACATCAGAGCACTCAACGGTATAAACAGAAATAGGCTTTTTATCATCAACGGTTACATGACTTACGACCAATACATTCATTTTGAACAATCCCTTGTCGATATAACCACGACCAAGGAATATTCTGTTCTTGCTAAGAATAAAGTTCTTAGCTTCAAACACCAGCCTAAATCCATGCTCAACAAGAAGTGATCCGGAGACCAAATTCTTGCGGATGTCTGGGGCATGCAGAACATCCTTCAGCTTCAACTCCTTTCCAGAAGTGAGCTTCAGCACTACAGTGCCCACTCCAACCACATCAGACGTGGAGGAGTTTCCCATGTGAAGTTTCTGACTCGTAGCAGGAGTGTATTCAGAGAACACCTCCATGTCAAAACACACATGCCTAGTGGCACCAGTATCGATGAACCACTCACTTGGGTTATCCACCAAATTGGCTTCAAACACCACAGCCGACATGTCAAAGTTGGTCAATTCACCCGGCACAAGGCCGTGTTCAGCAACAAGGGCACTCGATATACCGTTCCTTGGCCCAGCCTTTTTAAAGTCAAGCCCGTTGAATTTTTCAGACTTTTCAGCTGTATGAACATGGACAACAGGTACATGATTGATCAACTGCTGAGAGCTGGAACCTGCTCCGGTGGATGCCATCAGTTCAGTAGGATGACTGATATTCTTCTTGCGGATGTTGGATAATTTTGGTATAAAACACGGGAATCCTACGAACTGATATGTAATTTTCAGTTCTTACAAATAACCAAAAAATAGAAAATTACAATTGAACTGAAAAATAAAATACAACTGAAAAGCGGAAAGATTTTTAGCCGAGGCGAGTAAAACTCTTTCCGCAAGAAGAATACGCCTTGTGTGGCAGCGAACGGTTCAGGCGTAACTTCCCCAAAGATACAACGGCATACGTCTCTAAATCTCTAGCACACCAGATTTACGAGCTCCGGCGAACGGGAACAGAATCGAGAATTGAACACTAAAAAATAAAAAGATATATCATGAAACAAATAAAATTATTATTTGTTTCTTCTCTTTTGATATTTTTATGTCTGGTATTTAGACATAAATCTATCTTTTCTATCTTTTTCTTTCTCTCTCTTTTCCTAATTTTCTTTTCTCTCTCTGTTGAATTCTCTTTTCTGCAAAGTTTTGTTGTCTCTTTTTTATGTCTCTTTACTCCTCCACAAAACACGAATATATACACATGATAATGAACAATTATTAGGAAATAAAATATAAGAGTCGTTTGATTTGGTGTGGAGTTGATGGAATATTACTTAAACAATAATAACACTCATCATTTGCAACATAAGTTGACTTGCTTTACCGAATATGCCATCAACCCACATAAAATACAAACATATTTTAATTAACGCTCAATTTTTAACTAACAATCTAGCGTGTTCTTGAACGAGGCCTATGATGGTTCGGAGTTGATCAAGAAGGATCCATTCGTCGTTTGAAGGGACAAGGTTCTGAGATTTGTCGGTCACAGAGGGAAGAATGAGAAGAAAATTAGGTCCTTTGACGATTTTGTAGACGAGGAGAATAATGAGGTTTTTGCTCAGAAGTGATTGTGAAGAAGATGACCACTTGTAGATCGAACACTTGGAGACTGCCAGGTTGAGCTGTTTAGAGGATGATGAATCCTGAAATGGAAATTGAAGAAGTTTGCAGGGCTTACAATGACTGAGTAACCACAAGATCGTTTTTTCTCCTCTGTTATGTTCCCTAATTAGTTCACAGTACGTATAAAAGTGTATACGTTGACATAAAAAATAATAATTTTATATTCAAACTACTATTTATTTTTTAATTCATTAAACATGATTTTTATAAAAATCAGTTAATTATTTTTTATGGCACAATCAAACGCCTTAAAATTTCATATAGAATCCTCAACCATGTTGTTAATCATAAGATGCGCGTCTTTGATCCCCGTCGAAAAATTTTCAACCCGACAATTTAATTGATTGATTTGGTGGCAGAAGCCAGTTGCTTGTCGACCCGTATACTCAATTGTGGCGTCACGCCCGTCGATGTCATCCTTGACTTCTGATACAAACTGATGTATGGAAACGTAAAAGTGAGATGATATCGCAATCTCAAGAACATCTTACGATATCAAGTCATATTTTCATTCATAAAACAACCATTGAATAACAAAGAAGAATGATCTTTAAATAGAATGCTCAAAACCCTAAAAGTTATCTTGTCTCTCAAGCCACTAAAATTTAAATACTAAAATAACAATAATAGTAATAATAATAATATATATGCATCAAAAATATTGTTAAACTTGGTTAGATACAACTAGACCTATCAAAATGGACTTAGGTCACTATAAAAAATACTGATAGGTGTTATAAAATGCGAGGAATATAAAGAACACAATGTAAAAAGCAGATACAAATTATTACAAGCTTTTCCTTTTTCTCTTCTTCTTTTTCGTACAGCACTTTGTAAGATATCACTTGCCTTTTATAGGCAAAGTTTGGCACACAATTCAATACATCCTAATATAATAATGTAAATGATTAGTGGTAAATTCCACATCTTTACAATACTCCCCCTTGGAATTACCACTATTAAATGTGCGTTTATGCTGCCTCGTTAAAAACCTTATCTGGAAAAACCCTGTGGGAAAAAAACCGAGATAAGGAAAAAAGAGTACAGCCGCACATACTCCCCCTCGAGTTATCATCTGTGCAAATCCCAAAGATGTCTCATTCCAATATTGTGTACGTGCTTTCGAAACATTATCGTCGGAAGCGCCTTCGTAAACAAATCTGCTGCATTATCGCTTGATCGAATGTATTGAACTTTAATTTGTTTGTTTCTTTCGAGTTCTTGCGCATATGAGAAGAACTTTGGCGGGATATGTTTAGTTCTGTCACTCTTAATGTATCCTTCTTTTGTTTGAGCGACACATGCTGCATTGTCTTCGTATATCACCGTCGGGTCATTATTGTTCGATAGTTCACTGGCTTGTTGAATATGTTGAGTCATGTTTCTGAGCCAGATACTTTCCCTACTTGCTTCATGAAGTGCAATGATCTCAGCATGGTTTGAAGACGTCGCAACTAACGTT